GAACGACAAGCTTGGCGCGAATCCTACACTAGCCCAACGCCCTGTAAGAAGGGCGTATTACGTCCCATAGGGCTGACCATGGGTCCCTCAGCTGTAATGACTATTGCAATACCGGTTTAGGTAAACCAGACGTTTGCGCACGTGTAGATAGACTAGTTTGCTACTTACCTTTGGCCCAGTATCAGGTGCTTAAGGGATCATTAGTCACCATTGTGGCGAGCGCGGAAATAGTTATGATAACCAGTAACTATCTCCATCTTCCGTTTTCCATAGCTAACTCGAAATTGTTGAAGTCACATGTACGGAAATGGGAAAGCTCGTCTCGATATCTCACGTCATTAGTCTAGGTTAGTTAGTTAGGGCTTCAACCCACCATCGGTCATATGTCTATCGGTCTCGGTGTCGACTTTCTATCGCCTTCGGCGTTGCGAAAATATCCGGCCGTCCCGACAACTACGGATCGGCATTGCTCTAAACCCATGACCTTGACACTAACTAACTAGCCTTAGCTTTCTTCTTGTTATTGTGCGGTAAAGCAGGTATGGACACGCGGATAGTAGGTTGGCGAAGATCAGAAAAATGTAGCTGCCCAAGCTAGACTTGCTCGCTAATAGTCTTACTCTTCCGTTATGTTCTTACTAACTATAGTAGTGGAATCGTCTAGATGGATATAAGCCTCACCGCCGAAGAAGACGATAGAAAGGAATGCTAAGAAGCAATCGGGTCCGGCTAATTCCGCGTGAGATCACTACCGTATCTTCCTAGCATCAGCACAGAAACGGCGGCTGCTTGTCTGATAAGCGTACTAAAGGAAATTTTTCTTATGAGAAAAAAAAAACCTGATACTGCGTATTCTACTAGTAAAGTGATACGATGTTTAGAGATTACATAAGGCATGCAAAATGCACGGCAAGTAATCCCGGTGCCGTTGAACTTAGCTACCCTGTACTGCATATGCGAGAGGCATGTAAGTGTGTATGATGATGTACGATATAGGGCTGACGAATAAGAGGTACATGAAGTATCATACATAGTATGTACATATTCACATATCTAGGCAGAAGCAAACGGTTCGTTCGGTAGGATTACATGCGACGGCTCAGCCACCCATTCTACGTAAATTAATTCCACTCCAGCAAATACCACACACACGAATTCGGAAACCGAAACAAAGATCCTGTGCACGAGTTAGTTACAATAATTCCGTCCCGGCAAGCTGGGGCACATGCGCCCATGGCTGGCTGGCTGGCGCGGCGAGGATGAATGGGTCGGGGTGGATGGGTGTGGGCTTGCGTAAGACGCAACGCCGCTTGGGCGAATGCAGATCGCGCACTAACTAGACAGACACAGCTTCTTGCACGGGCACGGAGTCTCGGAGCCGATCGGATGCTAATAACTTGTGGCTTACGCAGCCCTAACCTATCGCTTACACGTACAGTTGGTGCTAGTCGGTTAATATGCGAAAGTGTTGGTGCTGACGGATTAGAAGAAGAAAAAAAACACGAGAATGGTATGGCACGGTCTCGGATATGGCCGATGAGGGTAACGTGTTATTTAGGAGTTCGAGATGAGTATGGCATTACTATAGACACGTATTACGATGAAGGAGTGGCAAGTTTAGAGGCGGTATGATGAGCAGTTACAGTCACGGATGGGAAACGAGTTATGGGGTATTAATGTTCAATTTAGAGGGGTTCATGTATCTTTTGACCAAAGCCATGAATATGAGAGTACCTAGGTATTACCACTGATGCCAGAGCCACCCAAAATCCAAAAACCACCCTATCCAGACGCCGAATATGCTAAGGGCCGTATGCTGTATGAAAAAGTGACGATGATATGGGTATGGTGATGATGATGTAGTGACCGTGACGCCGAAAGGAGAGGTATATGTGAAGTCTAAGAAAGCCGCAACTCCATAACCATGCACCAGATGAATCCCACGAAATATGCAAATAGATAAGATGCCAATAAATCAGAACTCCTTAGCCGGTAGCACGAACCGGACCCTCTTCCTAGGCTTTGCAGCCGGTATGTCTATAGGTTGAGTCTTCTTCTCGGAACCGTCATCGAGATTCTCGGTGCTCAGCCCCATCTCGCTCATAGTTTCCTTCTCGGGTTCTTCGTCGATGGACCAGACGTCAGGACTAGGTTCGCGCCAGGAGTGTCGCCGCTGTAGCGGACGGATAGTGGGCCGGCCTCGCATGCTGGCACGTCGAGGCGGCGGGGTGGGCGGGCCGAAGCGTTTGGCTAGGCGGCTGGGCGATCCAACATGGAATGAGGATGGTGATAGGAGACTTTCAGCGCTTCGAGACAGGCCATGGTTAGGAGAGCTGTGTCGAGGATGATCAAAGTAGTCGTCCAGGCCGAAAGGTAGTGACTTTTGGGAATTAAACCGTATATAGTCCTCTTCGTCGTCGTCTGAGTCGTCGTCTAGGATGGCACAATCTGCCTCCTTCTTGGCCTTGTACCGCCTGAGACCGTCGAGCGTTGAGGGACTCACGCTTCGGACAATATGGCGGGGACTGTTTGAGTCCTCGATGCCAGCATCAAAGTCGAACTCAAATTCCAAGTCATCATCTCCGGGGGTCGCGGGTGTTAAGAAATATTTGAGAGGATTCTCGGGCCTTGAAGAGGTGTCGATGTCCTCATCATCAGTGGAAAGGCCGTCCTTGTCATCATCGAGTGCCGGTGGAAATCGGCTGGGACTTGAAGGCCATAGACCGCTAGATGGCCATGATTGTTGGTGCACTGCATTCAGTGCGTCCGATGGTGAGAGAGGCATGTTGATTTGATTACAGTAGAGTTTGATATGGTAAGGGTCCTTAATAGCGAAAGACAGGCTCCTAAGTACTCATCTCATGCCAGGGTGATTTATTTAATTGTTCACGGGTTGGAGGAAAGGCCACTGTTCCGTCGAATTTGGACCTTTTCAAAGGTGCCGGGCCCAAGCCGGCTCAAAAGGAACAAGGGTAGTGAAGTGAATGTGACTGAAGGAAAGAAGTCGAAGCCTCGAGCCAAAAGTGATCTTTTAGGGTAGCACATCAAGAGAAAATACGGCGGCGAAGCCGGATATATATAAATTCCCCCGCCATGGGCACATAGGCAGAAGGGAATATGTCAGGAAAGTGGCTGGTGCTCCGGGTTAGTCACCTGTCGATCCAGGAAGCTGCCTTGTGGGTTTGTAGGCAAAGATGGTAAAGGTGGTGGTGGTGGTCATCCCGGTCACTCAGCTGTCAAAAAGGGTACGGTGTCTTGGTATCTTGCCAAACCCCACAGACGCGACGGGCGCGCTGGGTCTATTGCTGCTTATTGCCGTGAATCAATCACAGGGCGCAGGGAATGAAGACTCATATCTTGGACTAAGGGAGAAGCTGAGGACGAAGACATGTTCCCAAAACGGAGCCTTGCATATGAAAGGTGGTGTGCGACCCAGAAGGGAAAACCGGGCGAGGATCGAGGATACGAGCTCCCACTCCCACTGAGCACACTCACTCACTCACACACTCGCTCACTTACTTGGTATATACCAAGTACCAAGGGAAAAAGCGACCTGTCTGTCCCCCCACTCTGGTACGCTCTTGTCACTTCTCAGTCTCGTCGGCCAGGCATCTGACATGGTTGCACACCCTCTTCCCACTGCCATATCCCGTAGACCCGACGTGATGCACGACTGTATGCGACGCTGTTGAGGCTCGTGAGCTTTCGTACGGTATCATTCGCTGCTGTCTTAGTGAGTCGATCGACATGCATAGTCAGGGATCGGGATTGTGCATCGACTGCAGCGCGTCCCCGTCCCCGCTGTACCTTGCATAAGTTGGTTGGGTGCTCGAGTTGCGCGGAAGCTCATTGATTGCACAACTGCGGTGGCGTGATGCACGCATTTGGATGGGATGGCATTTGGGATTTCCAACAAGTTCCGGCTGCTGCGGCTACGAAGTATGACGAAAGTTGTTGCACTTTACTGGACATACTAGGTAGGTGCTTGTGTGGTATTGCAGCTACCGTCGGTTGGCTGTAACTCTACGTACATATGCTGTATCATAGTATGTATTAGGTATTTGCGCCTACCTGGCAGGTATGTACTCATTCATGTCAGATACATGGTAGGTGTCTTGGGTGTAAATGAACGTAACCAAGGTATTAGTAAGATAGTGGTAGCTGACGAACTATACTAACCCAACACATAGACGCCTACTCGAAGCTAAGAAAGCAGAATGACCCTTTAGTCTGATATATAAACAAGAAACGGCTTAGATTACGACGCTAGCACAATCGGCTTTTTGTGAGTCAAATGCGCATGTTGCAGGTGCTATCAAGAATGGCATGCAACCAGACCGAGAAACCTTGGGAAAGTGGTTGCGCGGACGGTGCCCCGCATCCCGTTATCAATCGTGCAGCATTCCACCACCACCCTGCCTCGCCTGCCACCCTTTCACCTCCTTCGGTGTGACTGGGGAAGGCCACTAAAGAATGCAAGCCGTGGAAGATCTTGTTTGCCTGGGAGGGGTACTCTCGAGGCACTTGATTTGAGTGTTTCGGCAGGCCTCAGGTGACAGAGCTTATCAAGACCCATCGCCCGACTGCAACCCTACAGAGTTCAATAGACGTTCGACGGTGAACGGTGAATGGCCACCGCTTGCGACTAATGCCCCTCACCGGCAAGATCCGGAAGTTAAATTGGACTAGTTGACTGGATGCCTTCGTGCCGGCTTGAGGGTTTCGATATATGTGGCAAGTTGCTTGCTTTCCTTGCAGACAGCCAACTCTCCAAGAGGGTTGATGGTGTTGATAACTCACAAATCGTTACTTGGCGCATGGTGTAAGTAGTTCGACCCTCTTTTGCACACACCTCGAGCTAGATAACAAGCTGTTTCGTTCAGGATGGGGCTTGGTTGATTAGCGGCACCACCGCCAAATGTCAAGTCCAGTCCAGGCAAACAGCATCTTTCGTTTTAGCGAGCCAAGCCTCCACACAGGAAGCTCATCTCTTCCTCTTGGGGCTTGTGGTTTAGTGGTATAATACTCCCTTAGCATCTAAACGGCTTCTCTCAAGTAGCCCACTAAGAATTGGGAGTGGTCCGGGGTTCGATTCCCCGCGAGTCCAATGTCGGTGGTTCAATCCCGCCTGTACCCTTGATTTTCTCCGAATTGGTGTAGTGGCCAACATTTGACGCTCTCATAACACACGGGTGCCGTCAAGCCCGGGGTTCGATTCCCCGATTCGGAGTCGTCCTATCTTTTTGGCGTGCTGAGTCTTGGAATATGCAAGATTTGTTTTCCCCGATGCCTGGAGCAAGTGTGCAGGGTGGTGAGAGACAGCAGGATGTATAGGCAGGCTTACCTTATCGCTTACCTTATCCACCTGGGTTGGTAGGCTACAGAATGAGTGAATGCATCGGCCCGTTCCCTTGGCTCCCAGCGCCCAGCTTGAAAATGCATACTTTTCTTGCATATTGTCTCGTTCAACCAGATTCCCGATAGGAAATTATTCTGTCGATCTCTGGGATGCATGGCCAGTCGTTTGGATGCCGAAGGTACTATGCACACTGGGCACCAGTGTCATGTCGACTGACCACTTGGTCGCATAGTCTCAAATGCGCAGCTAACCAGTCTCGCGTGTTTCAAGGTTAGGGGGATCTAATCGTGGATCACCCTTCTGTAGATCAACTAATTCGGCTCAACCCGTGTTGGTTCGAATTCTTGGTTTGCTGAGGGCATGCAGCATGCTCGCTCGCACAGCATAGGGCTACCAATCCCAAGACTTGGAGACTCGCGGTTAGCGCGGAGCTCACCAAGCGAAACAAGCCCGATAAATAAGTATCACGTGAAGGGCGCAACCACGTGAAGCAGTAGTAGCTTACTATGTCCAATCAGCGTATACGTCCCTGAGACAAGAGGAGAGTTGAGAGTTAGACAACTTCGTGACTGGGTAGGTTCGTCAACCCTCCCGCTCCGACTATTCGACAGAGGATCGTCGCGACGGTGACCGTTGCCGCGATCGTCGATCCCACTCACCCGGCACGGTCATACTACCATGATCTTCTGGAGCAATATCTCCTCCCATGAAACGCCTGACTAACTCCGAATCTTCTTATTTTAGGAGTGGGTTCGTTTAGATCCGGGTTATTATGCATGTTTAAATCTCTATGACGTCGACAAGCCAGAGTTGAATAGTGTTTGGGACCTGCAGCAGTATGTTTTGCACATGGTCGGATCTTGGGTGTGAAGATCCACTCAGCCGGGACCTGGGTTCTGACCTGGGCATCCGGGACCATCAATAAATACCCAATACGAATTCTCGTCAGCCGTACCTCAAGCTTGCAATGGACATATTGTCAAAAGATGCAATCACTTGATCCATAGCTCAGTGAACGGTATTGAGCTATACTGAGATGAACACGGAGATTCAGTTTCGGACCTGACCGAATGACCATAATCAATGCCAAACCAGTCAATTACCTTCAGTATTACTGAGTGTTTACTGCGAGATGATTGATCATTCCGCTCAGCAAAAATCCAAGGCTGCTCTGATAGGCTAGGACCCAGTTTCAGACCGCAACTGGACCTTACACCTTGTCTCAGTGTCGTCGAATTTCATGTAGTTGGAATAACTGACTCACAACAATATTCAGGTTCCTAACGCCTGTCACCAGCTTTAGGTGGCTTGGTTTGTTTTGATACCTTCTTCCATCTCATGACTATGACGTCGCAGTTACGGACCAAGCTTCATCTTGGCTTTCTTGCCGTCGAGTGAGAAGGAGTGGGAACAAGCCAAAATAACATACTCGACCATGTCTCTCGAACTACACATGGAGAAGGCGGGTTGTGGGCATCATGTTCCACTGGCCTAGGTTCCCGGACTAAAGTGCTGTATCAATGATGGTCGGACTTCGTTGAATTCCCTAGTGTTATCTTAGGTCTGTTACGACCATTTTTGATCGGTATGTGGTCTCAATATGCCATAATGGTGGTCGAAGAGGTCGAAGAGAAATTGGTGTATAATCTTTCTTAATTACCATCTTCTAGGCTGGGCTTGACTACGTACATAGGCACATGGCTAATTTACTATCCGTTATGCAAGTTCCTCAACCATCTTTGCAAGTGGACTCACCTTTTGCAGGAAGAGGCCATTTGATGGTCAATGCCTTCATGCTCACGGAACTCTCCGTCCAATCGGAGCCCCATACATGTATCAGACCAGAACATCAACACAGTTTAGAGCACTACCATTCAGACCATCTGCTTGGTAGACAAGACGCACGCAAGCAAACTGCAGCCGGTCTGGCCAAGAGATGCCTTGACTAGCGATTCATTGCTTGAACGACGGTAAAAACAGCAGGAAACCCGCTTATGCCGGCTGGTCGTGGAGCATACCCGGTACCGTAGCGCAGTCAAGCTCCAAGGATGAAGGCAGGAGACAGCAACGACCCAGCATTCGTCCTGTCCCCTAAACGTCCCGAGGCATTGTTAATGCTACGGCCGTTTACCGCGACTGGGCGCGAGCCTGTCCGACCCATATTCTTCCGAGCGAAGAGACATCAACCACGTCACTCCGCAATTTTAACGGTGGTCGGTCATGCCACGATGGGCTTTGCCAAAAAGCACCTAGCACAATACGATCGTGGCATGGTCGGTATCGATATCTTCAAGGTTGGGACGCAATGACGCAGCGAGGTTGCTCCTTGCTCGAAAAAGGCGGTGAGGTTCTTTGTGGAAACGACTGGCATCGAAGAACCCAGCCATCGTTCGAAGAACCCAACCATCGTTCCCAACCCATCGTCGGTAATGCCAAGAGACCCCACAGGCGATGTTGGCTGTCTTCACGATGTACCATTCCATTCTCACTATCCCTATGATGGAGATGAATATGCTTCTAGCGTCATCTTGGAAAGCCTTATAATTCCTTAGCTTGTTATTCCCACGTGCACAGGGGTGTTCTATGTCAGCCATCACGCTTCATCCCTTGCTTCACTGTCAGCGGGGAAGATGATGTAGTTCACGATGCATTTTGGAGTTGTAATCAAGGGTGGCTAAACTTGTATAGCGTAGCATATCTACAAAGCTTTACCAATCTGGTAGTTAGGTATCTTAACAGACGTCATCTCATCAAAACCCTCAACTATGCCTGTGCTTTGTTGTCTAAAGCTACTTACTAGGTAATCAGAATGCGCTTTCGGTAAAGGGTAAGAGGGTATGTCTTTGGCGACAACCGTAAAATTTTAATAACGATCGACTTCGTATCAGCATGTACAACATATAACGACCCAACAATCCAAATTATCAGAATATACGCTGTTTATTCTCAACATTTTTAAGTTGCATAGGAACCATAACTGGTGAGACCAGGTACGCCTTCGTAGACGCGAGACCAACGCGTCCTACGCGATATGCTATGTTGTACTGAAGGGTTAGCAAATAAGAAGCAGTAATGGGAACAGGTATCCTTTTTTCCCACTTAATGGGCCATGGAATGTAGGATTGCATGCAGGGCGGTGCACACGACCGAAGCAGCCACACGTACTTCTCTAAGTAGACTGGGTGAGCCAATCCACTTGCATGAACTAGAGGATTCCGAGATTAATGGACTACACCATCCAATTGATGAAGAATAGAAACTTGACAAGTAATGAATCACCTTTTTGGGTATACTGTATCGGAATTCAAGGGGTGCCAGCATTGAACTAAGATATTGCCCCCAGCTTTGTCCCGATGCTACACGGACGCCAACGGAGCTCCTTGAAATGCACCGGAACGAAGCCCATGACGATTTGGGGTGTTAGGTTGCTATCCGTTCATCGAAAGGGGGGTCGTCCAGGACATCCTACACCGTCGCTATTCATCCTACGGGGGCTGGGTATGCTCTGTGTTGGAACAAGTTGGGTGTTCAGCGACGACCGAAGGCCAAGGGCTTGCAGACCGCTCTGCCACGTCCTCCCTACAGTACAGGTGCAGGTAAGCAGCGAGTTACAGCGCCCTCGATGGGGCATTCCTGCAGAGCAGCCACGCGTGACCTCATTCGCGAGAGCGCATTGACGACTCCATCGTCGAGGCCTTATACCGTAGGTGGATACCAAAAGTACATACATGTGCGTGTGTGTGTGGTGTAATTGCTCTACTTAGGTTGGTCTCGTCTGGACCCCACCATTGAGGCCATTCAGGGTATGGACGAGTCGCTGGCTAATGCAGGCGTCCCTATTACTGTAGCCCCCAGGTAGTTAGAGGCGGCGTGCGAATGGGAATGGTTGCGTTGGCGTCCGTATTCTGCCTGCAACCAAGGAGGAGCCCAGTCGACTGGCTAACTGCGACTTGCCTGGATTTGCCTAGATCTCCCGCGCGCAAGTAACCTGCTACTAGACCGTCTGGATGGAGTCAAGGGAGTCAAGGGAGTCATAAGCCGGACATGGCGCTGCGTATACTTATGCTGCGTTGTCCAAGACTGTCTGTCGGATATCCCACCACCTTTTTAGCAGCTTTGCTTTGCTCCTCTGAAAATCCCTATGCAGCCATACAAACCTCAATCGTAGAGCCACAAAGAAACCCTAAGCCATAACAAAAATTTTCTTCCTCGCTTTAACTGTCTGAGTGTGTTCGTGGTATTATAGAGTATTAGTAGCAGGTTTTGTCTTGCTTGCTTATTCAGATTTTTTTTTCTTGACACGGGAGTATTGATACCCAAAGCCCAACTTGGGCACTAAACCCAAGACAACAAGTTGTCTTCTGGCAAGAAAGTATTGGAAACGCCGCAACTCCTAGACTTTTGGTTCTCCGAAAGACAGTTTTCACCTTTCGAAATTAGAATCTTCCTCCTTACCGAACATAGCACCCCGCCAAGTCGCACATCTTGTACTCGTTTCACAGAGCCACAGGCTTGTCTGATCTGTCACTTACACCAAAAAAACCCACTCACCAATAATTCAGTACGGCCTAACATTCGCCACTGGACACGCCTCATGATAGCACTGCGCGAGCGCACTCTCACAACACCTCCGCACAGATCGACATATCTTCGACAGTAATCGCCCCGGCGATCTCCTAGCGAAGTGTCCCTTGCGACAATTACTGGCATGACAAGCCGAACCCACGACAGGGAAGACCTTGCTCTCA